TCAATGAAGGTTTTTGGGGTTCAGTGAGGATTTGGGGAGTTCAATGAGGGTTTTTTGGGGGTTCAGTGAGGATTTGGGGAGTTCAATGAGGGGTTTTGGGGTTTGAGAAGGACTTGGGTTCACTGAGGATTTTTGGGAGTTCCCTGAGGATTTTTGGGGTTCACTGAGGATCTTTGGGGTTCAGTGAGGATTTCTGGATTCAATGAGGGGTTTTTTGGGGCTCAGTGATTTTGTTTGGGGTTCAGTGAGGATTTGAGGAGTTCAGTGAGGGTTTTTGGGGATTCAGTGAGGATTTTTGGGGATTCAGTGAGGATTTTTGGGGATTCATCGAGGACTTTTGGGGTTCAGTGAGGGATTTTGGAGTTCAGTGAGAATTTAGGGGTTCAGTGAGGATTTAGGGACTTCAGTGAGGGGTTTTGGGGATTCAATGAGGATTTGGGGACTTCACTGAGGGTTTTTGGGGGTTTCAGTGAGGATTTGGGGAGTTCAGTGAGGATTTGGGGGTTCAGTGAGGATTTGAGGAGTTCAATGAGGATTTGGGGATTCAATGAGGATTTGGGGAGTTCAGGGAGGATTTACGGACTTCACTGAGGGTTTTTGGGGGTTTCATTGAGGATTTGGGGGTTCATTGAGGATTTGAGGAGTTCAATGAGGATTTGGGGACTTCCCTGAGGGTTTTTGGGGTTTGGCAAGGACCCGATGGTGCCAGTGCAGTGAGGGGCCCCCAGGGCGGGCTGGATGCCTGAGGAGAAGCTGGGATTGTGCCCTGGAGAGGGTCTGTCCCCAACACCTGCCCTGTCCCCTCAGCTGACGGCCACGGGGCCCGGCCGGCGCCTGCTCAGGGCCCGGGGCACCTACGTGGTGCTGAGGGAGCTGCACGGCTGGGAGAGGGACCCCGAGGTGCTCAGGGCCTGCCACAGGGTCATCCAGGTCAGTGGGGGGACCCCAAGGTGCTCAGGGCGTGCCACAGGGTCATCCAGGTCAGTGGGGGGTCATGGGGTGCTCAGGGTCTGCCACAGGGTCATCCAGGTCAGTGGGGGGTCATGGGGTGCTCAGGGCCTGCCACAGGGTCATCCAGGTCAGTGAGGGGCACCCCGAGGTGCTCAGGGCGTGCCACAGGGTCATCCAGGTCAGTGAGGGGTCATGGGGTGCTCAGGGCCTGCCACAGGGTCATCCGGGTCAGTGAGGGGACCACAGGGTCATCCAGGTCAGTGGGGGGGACCCCGAGGTCATCCAGGTCAGTGAGGGGTCATGGGGTGCTCAGGCCCTGCCACAGGGTCATCCAGGTCACTGGGGACACCCTGAGGTCATCCAGGTCAGTGAGGGGTCATGGGTGCTCAGGGCCTGCCACAGGGTCATCCAGGTTAGTGGGGGGCACCCCGAGGTGCTCAGGGCCTGCCACAAGGTCATCCAGGTCAGTGGGGAGACCCCAGGGTCATCCAGGTCAGTGAGGGGTCATGGGGTGCTCGGGGCCTGCCACAAGGTCATCCAGGTCAGTGGGGGGACCCCGAGGTCATCCAGGTCAGTGGGGGGCACCCCAAGGTCATCCAGGTCAGTGGGGGGACCCTGAGGTGCTCAGGGCCTGCCACAGGGTCATCCAGGTCAGTGAGGGGTCAT